CTGCCCACAGTCCCTGGGTTTTTATAAGATGGCTTGGCCCAGGGACCACTTAGTGTAAGTGTTGGGCCCATAGGGTCCATGTGATGGGCTCAGAGGTTCACTGGGCTTTCCAGTGAATTCGGCTATGCCTTGTAATAAAGGTTGAGCCGAACCCATGTGGTTGATGTGTAGATCAATGCTTGGGTCCCACGCCATACAAAGAAGCCCAATTGGGCAGCAGTCTGGAAGACTATTGAGCACTTAATACATAATGGGCCTAAAGCCCATTTCGAATTGGGCTGATTTGATCAATCATACATAGGGGCGGATCTGGGATTTGGTTAAACCAAAAAGGATTGGATCCCTATCCACTCTTGGAGACCAGATTCAAATTAGAATTTGAATCTGGTAATCTCCTGATAAGATCAAGAGTAGGCTGATCTGATCTGCAGATAGGATCAAGAAGCCTCTCTATCCAAATACAGATTTGGATTGGGATAACTCCTAATGAGATTAGGAGGTTTCTTGATCACCAAGAAAGAAGGAAAAACCCATTCGAATTACAAGAATTCAAACCCTAGGCTTTTAGCAGATATACTTCTGCAATCTTGAAAAAAGGATCTCTAGATTTTCCAGAGAAGAATATTGCAGTTCACCATCTTCTTCTCTGACCTTCTTCCTCAACAATCACCGCCATACTTTCTTCTGCCAGTTCGAGTTCTCACCAAGAGAACATCAAGAAAGGTTCTTGATCGATTCTGTGGTGCTCATTGCTTCCATCAAGTTCTTCAGAAGAACCTGGTTCGTGGGACGAACACTACTGGTTCGGCTCCATCACCGTTGTGTCATCTTCAGTGGGAGCTGATCTTGGTTCTCTTCTTTGGTCATGAACACCGACGTTGGGAGATACTGCTTCTCCGGATCAGGTATAACCCTTCCCTTCTCTTTTGGTTCAGATCTGGTTCAGTTATGGTTCAAATACCTGGTTCGTGGGACGAACACTGCTAGTTCGGCTCCATCATCGCTGTGTCATCTTCAGTGGGAGCTGATCTTGGTTCTCTTCTTTGGGCGTGAACACCGACGTTGGGAGATACTGCTTCTCCGGATCAGGTATAACCCTTCCCTTCTCTTTTGGTTCAGATCTGGTTCAGTTATGGTTCAAATAGATCGTTGAATATTGTATTCTAAATTTTGGGAATATGATTCCCAGTTGGAAGAAAGGTGGAAATTTTGAAATTCGCCCCACCCAATTCCGCAATCTTTTGGCGTCCATACGATGAATCCCACCATTCTTTCATGTATCGGGTCAGGCCATGGTTCAGAGGATAGCCGGGACTTAAACCGACCCCCCTGAACTGGTTTTGAAAAAAATAAATAAAACACAGAAAAAAACACTGATACAGGTCGATACGCTCCTACCGGCGTACCAGCTTGTATCTATATTTAGAACCTTGAGTAGCATTAGTATTTTCCTTAGGGGGGTCGAAACTGCCTAGAAAATGTGGCACTACTTCGGCATGCCAATGACAGTACACAGAAAAATTTATTAGCTAAAAGCATCCCAATAACAATAAGTATTAAAAAACTTGGAAATTTACAGAAATATGCATATAATTACCAGCAATCCTTCCTCCAATGCCAATTTCCTTGCCATTTCAATTGCTTCCTCATTGGTAACCTACAAATCCAAGTAAGAAATACAATAAGTAGCAGCAATAGCTGATAAAATGAGGGAAGCAGGCAAGGTGGCTTGATCACATGGAGAGAAGACCATATGCAGCAGCATTGACAAAAAGAGATCTATTACAAGTTGAAGGACCTAGAGAAGCTATAGACAAACCAAAAGGACATGGGTTGAAGTAGGGGTGATCATTTGAGTTTTGTGTTCAGGCCTAATCCAACCCTATTGTGGAAAGATACACACACACACACAGAGAATATATATAGGGTCTGACTATGATACGGAAAGACATGATACTGAAAAAAAAAATTATAGCCATCAACCAGCATCATAGAAGTAGTAACCAATCAAGTGGATTTTCATCAAAATTCATGGGGGGTTTTGATTGGTCAAAGCCTTTCCAGTATCATGTCTTTATGGTATCATAGATTTTTTTCATATATATGACACATATAGAATATAGTATATAACAATTTATACTTATACAAGTTATGATGAGCCCAAAATAAAAGAAAGAACAAGAAGAAACAAAAGGAAAAAGAAGAATCAAAAAAGAGAGAAATGTGAATATATTCTGAATTTGTGTGTTTTTGTAGTATGATACAAAATTGTTGTTTTTGGGTAGCTTTATTGACAATTTGGGTTCAGGGGTATTTTCATCATTTTTTTAATTCAGATTCTGGTAATGGGCAGTTGAACACACATCTATTGGGTTTCGGTCTCCTAGGTCTTTTTGTAACAAAAGTTATCTTTTGGGGGGTTTGTTTGAAATTAGTTTTATTCTCTCAGAGTTATTTGTGAAGGGGAAACATCCTAGGGATGTATGTGTAAATATATTAGTTGGCTTCTCTAGCAAGCCATTGAGTCTTATAAAAAAGAAGGAAGTTGTTTCTATAGGGGTCTATTAGGATCTTTATCTCTTGTTTGAATTGTAGCTCATCCCCAGCTAAGGTTTTCAAGTATTGGGAGCTTGGGTTTTGAGGAATCAACATATTTTGGCACCTTCCTCCCTCTATCACTGTGTGCCCATGCGAGAGCCAGCTTAATGCCATTGTTATTGTTGTGAAACCGTTCCAGGAGGAGTTCTCCTTCAGGTTCAGGTCTGAAACCCCTCAAAATCCAACTTGTTTTGTTGTATTCAGCTAAGTATTTTTGTGCTTATTGTTGTACATTTGAAGTGTTGCATATAACTTGTTTCCTTGGGTTTGCTTCAAAGTTCATCTCCTTGTGTTTTGTTATGTTATTATGGCTGCAAGGGGTGGATGTGGTGGGGGTAGTAGAAGACCACAACATGTCATTGTAGAGGTTTTCCAAGAGGCTACAAGAGAGCTGCAAGAACAAATTGAGCGTCTTGCCCAACTTGTAGATCAAAATGCTACTAGGGATGTTGGCGTAACAAGTGATGAACAGCCCACTAACATTATTAATGAAGAATTAAATGAAGACATTGAGCAACCTGAAGGTGATCAACATGAAAGGAATAACAACCAACAATGGGAAGACCAAATAGTGCAAGCTTTACAATCCAATCAAGGTCATGGTGTTCAACTTCATGTTAACGAGTTTGATGGTGAGTTGGAACTTGAAGAGTTTCTAGATTGGTCTTTTTTTGAAGTAAATAAGTAGTTATTAAATATCAAAGAGAGTAGGCATTACAAGCATCCCATAAAGAGGCATGAGGTGTTACCTCTCACACAAACTTTAAAAGATAGTATCAAAACAGTTACAACTAGGCCCAATACAAATTGTCCCTATTGACCCCTTGTTTAGATAACCCATCTACCATAGCATTAGCAGTTCTTCTAACTCAAGAGATTTTCAAGTTCATGTTTCGGGTTATCCATTTAAACATTTTCATCCCATACCTAAAACACCATATTATAGACTCTAGATCCTTTAGCCACCCTATCACCAGATTTTAGTCCCCTTCAATCTCCACATTTGTTAGGCCAACCTCACTTGCAATTTGTAGCCCTCTCATAGCCGTGAGAAATTCTGCCCTGATGGAATTTCCCACTCCCATGGGACTGGAAAAAAGTGCAATGATAATCCCTTATTTACTTCGCAGCACCCCTTATACCTGAAAGGCCCGAGTTTCCTTGACTACCCCCATCAAATTTAATTTCACGAAGTCTGCAACTAGGGGTTTCCATAAAATCTTTTCTTTTTCTTTTTGGAAGAAATTCTGCCCACTACCCCCAAATTTCTCCAAATAACATCGAAGGACCAAGACTAAAAAGAATCCAAGGTCCTAAGCCAATTTATCACCCTTACCAATATGTAGTCTCTTACCACTTCTATGCATTTCTCCTTTCCTGAGAAAATTCTGTTATTTCTTTCTTCCCAAAGAGTTCATATTATTTCTTTCTTCCCCTCCTTTTAGGCCAAACAAAGATTGAAGTGTTAAAAAGCCTATCTACCTCCGTTGGTAAGGACCATCTGCAACCAAACAAAGAGAAAAGCCAATCCCATATATTTGCAGCAAAGGGTCAGGATATTAGTAAGTGGTAAAAATTTTCTTCATTGGATTTACATAGGGTGCACAAGTTTGGAGATAAGCATAAGGATCTTTGTTTTTTGTAGCATGTGCATAATGCTGATCTTCCCATGATGCACTACCCAACAAAAGGCTCCGATTTTGGTAGGAATAGGCTGACACCACACTTTCTTAGTAGGAGAAGAAAAACAGCCTTTTGAGAAGAAAGGACTGTTTAGAAAGATGCATAAAATCAAAAGAAAGTAGCAGAAATCAGAGTTCTAGAGGAGAGAATATGAAGAAGGTGGCGGCAACTTGGGTTCAGAGAGAGAGATTTTCGAACATAGTCTCTTCTCTTACACCCTTAATTCTATTTTATTAAGTTAAGCTTTGGTAATTTACAGAGAAGCCCTTAGTTGGGCAGAAAATTAAAAAGACATAACATAATAGATGTCAATCATGCCAAGCTTGCCAGTATCATGCTAAAGCTTAGCCTTGGGAATGCCAAGCTTGAAGTGTCTCAAGAACTTGCCTAAGGTGATTGAGATGCTCTTCTTTAGAATGACTGTAGATTAATATGTCATCAAAATAGACCACTAAGAATTTTCCAATAAAGGGTTGCAAGATCTGAGTCATAAATCTCATAAAAGTAGTACTTTTAAAGTACTAGGTGCATGAGTCAAGCCAAAGGGCATGACTAGCCACTCATAGAGTTCATCCTTTGTTTTAAGAGCAGTATTCCATTCATCACCAATTCTAAATCGGATTTGGTGATATCCACTTCAAAGATCAACCTTAGAAAACCATTGTGCACTAGCCATGAGATCCAACATATCATCAAGTCGAGGTATCAAGAATCTATATTTAACTATGATCTTATTGACTATCGATACACATTCTCCATGATCCATCTTTCTTAAGAGTTAATAAGGTTGGCACAACACAAGGACTTAAACTCTTATGAATAAAACCTCTTTCTAAAAGTTCGTCCACTTATCGTTGCAATTCAGCATGCTCCGTTGGGTTCATCCTATAATTCTGGAAGTTAGGCAATTAAGATCCTGGGACTATGCCAATGGCATGCTAAATATCCCTCAAGGATGGTAATTCACTTGGCAATTCTTCCAGGGCCACATCCTGGAATTCTTTCAATAGGGTTGCAATCTCAAGTGAATTTATAGTTAATTCTATAGAAGCAACCCTAGCATCTTCTTTGACCACAACAAATAAAACTACACCTGACTCATTGCCTTCCCTTTCAAATTCTTTTCGAGTTAGAATGTGCAAAGGTTTCCTTTTGGAGGGTCAATTGGGAGGACCTTTCTGGATCTATCCTTCTCAGATGGTTTGGTTGGCTTCACAAGAGTAGATTTCCCATTGTTCTTGATTATATATGTATTTGATCGACCATAATGGATAACATTCATATCATATAACCATGGATGCCCCAACAAGACATGAGCATCATCCATAGGTAGAAACATCACACCAAATCTTATCTAAATAATAACCCATTTGGATGGGAACCAAACACCTCTCAGTTATGGGTAGAGAGTGTTAGACAGTATATGCCCTCAGCTCCAATCAAACTGATGTACATGAACATTTATTTGTAAATGAATAAAGTACATTATTGTTTCATGTTTTTATTGGTATACTTTCTGCGTATTACCCCTTAAATTGGACACTTATGAGACTTGTGTTAGTTTAGAATGTTCTCAACCATTAGATAGACTTGGGGAGCTTATCCTAACAAAAACTGACACTGGTGTGCTACCAAATAGTTAAAGCAGCTTGTCTCAACTGCTAGGGTTAAACCCAAAGCATAGGCAGTGGGTGTTTGGAAGAAACACTTAACCCGAACCAATTTCCAGTTATGTCCTAGACCTTGGGAATAGATAGGCAAAATTGGAAAGTTGCACATAACCCCAGACTTGATTATGATACTGCACTAAGTAGTGGACCAGGATGCCTTTGATGTGCCAACCAAAGAGATCCAGCAAGGGTCAAATATCTGGCATGTTGGGGCAATTTAGGAAATTACTTGAGTGGGTGATCATAGTGATAGGATCAACCCCTTCAGATAAAGTGAGTATCAGGGTTTACACTCTCTCTAATGGAAACCTAAACTGTTGGCAGTGGATTTCACCTGTGTTTGAAATCTGGTTTTGCAAAATATACTTATATATTATAATATTATTATTTTATGAAAAGGATTTGCAAAAGGTTTTAATCCCAGGATCCATCCGGGCAGAGTGTGACACTGCACCTTGCAACCAAGGGAAAGGTCCTTCCTTGTCGGGTAGTGTTCTGAAGATTATGGGCCATAAGATTAAGTGTAAGAGACCATTATAGGGTTGATTACCTAATGGGCTTTATCTTGCATAAGTCCATTATCCTTGAGTCTTCATAGGGTGGCTGAATCCAATGATCATTTAAGTGTAAATGTTGGGCCCAGAATGAGCCCTTGCTGATTGGCTCAGGAGTTCACTGCCCTAAGCAGCGAATTCAGCCCAATCTC